TTTTTTTTTTTTTTTTTTTTCCTTTTCTCTTTTTAATATTATATTTAGCGCGCGGGCGCGCGTAACGTATTTACAAAAGGAAAAGAGAAAAACGAGCCCGCGCGACAACATAAGTTTGTAAGGTACGTAAATATATATACATATATGTATATGTGTATTATTTACGTCTATGTGTATACAATAGTGATACAACATTGCGATGCAGATGTATACACGATGGTTTTTACTCGATAGTTTTATTTTATTCGTTTCCTTTTATTCGTAATATTAATTAATTAGTTAATTTTCTGACGTAATATAAAATGTTCGTTTGGACGTTCTTCGATAGTTTAATCAACATCTTTTTTCAATCAGTTATAATAAATAATTTAATTCTTTTCCTTTGCGTTATACTTATGCACCAAATATCGATTTACAAAGTGAGTTTATATTTTAAAAAAATACTTATTGCAATAATAATTAATAATTGAATACACTTACTCCAATCTTTGACAATATTTTTTCTTTTCGCGAGGATATTAAAAAAAAATTCACGAGAAAAATATTTCTCGTGATGATGGTGCGATTTTCATACGATTTTCATTAAATATTATCAACAGCGAATAGCGAACACTTCATATTATCGAAATGAAATAAAATTTTTTTCTATGTATACATATACATATATATAGGATTATTATATGTATAGAACAATTACTTGCATGATATAAATATATTAGATTATATCACGTGTATAATATTATATGCATATTACATATACAACTTGTAACACGATATAACATTACACGTGTCGTTATGATACAGTACGATATTAAATTATACATAAAGAATATATACTATATATATATATATATACGCAGAGAACTAGTGTAGAGAAGTATTAGAATTTCTACGTTCTATACACACCTATTCTAACCTCTATCGTTTACGAAAAATAGGAAAAATATTCGTTGTACTATGCGAAAATACTACTACGAACGACGTGTTTGAAATAAATTCGCGTCTAAAAAAAATCACGTGGTACAATTAATTATGAGAAACTCTTAGTTAGAACGTAAGAAATAATTATATCTTTATCATATCTTAAGAGGCTTGACAACGCTTGCTCGAATTTATTATTTATCGTTTACGAAGGATATTATATTCCGATACTTCTGCTACAACGATCTCTGCCCGTTATACTTTTAAGATAATTATTTAAACAGTTGCAATGTTTAACTGTAACGTATGTACACACACTCATCGTAGAAAATTCTAGTAATGATCGATCGATAATCGAAAATATTAAAATGAAGGAAAGAGTTTTTTTACTTTTTTTTTTCTTCTTTTTTTCTTTTCTTCCCGATGCAATGATAACTTTAATAAAACAATATCTTACATATATCACAAATTTCATGAATTTGCGGAAATCAGTTTCGTTTCATCGATCATCGACGTTGCAGTATCGTTTAACTAGCTAAAGATCGTTTGTTAAATGGAGGCCAGCTCATAGAAACGAAATTATCAATGCTAGTGTATACAAGATGTGTCGTGACGAGTGGGCAATATCGTGAATAGTGAAAAGTGAACGGAAGAAAAAGTTAAAAAGTTGAAAGAAAAAGTGACTATTTAAGTTTCGTGTAACAAATTATTATTAAAGGAAAGAGAGAAAAGATCTACTATTAATAAACTATTTTGTTTCTACAGAAAATAACAATGCATGCAAATTAATATCGATAAAAATCTTCTTCATTCTTTTCTTCGATTCATTTTTCACTTTTCATTCATCGAAATCGAAAAATTCACCTCAATTTCAAAAGCGTTTAAAAAAGAACACATATATCGTTACTTGCATAATTTTTAAAAATATTCCCCACTTATCACGAAATCCCCTGTACATTTATATGTGTATAATTATCTTAGTATCACGAGATAAAATTTTAAAATTTTCGTCTCTATTAACGCTCGAACGAACGGAAAAAACGAAAATCTGTCGAACACCCTACACCCTAAAAAATACAAGGTAATAATTCCTAATTCCTACCACGCTGCTTTCACTCGAGTGTATACACCATTTATCGAGATTAGGGACGATCTACGCACGATTTGCGTTACGAATTTTCACGAGAACGAGGGGAAGAGGGGAGAGGGGAGAGGGAGGGGAGGGATAAAAACTCGAAAGTTCAGGCACTGTGAACTCAAAGCACTCATTTCGACGATTTCGAAGGATGCGACGAACGAACAGCGTTCAAGGATTTTCACTCCTGTTTCCTGGAATCCAATGCGATCCTTTTTTTTTTTTCTTTTCAACATACAAATTATTCTAAACTGAAACTAATGTTGTGCATTAATTTCCCTCATCGAACCAACATCGAATGCTGCTTTGATCGATTGCATTAGTTAGATTCATAATCATTTTCATGATTAATAGAATCATTTTCGAAAGCCTTGGGCTGATCGTTTGCCACGTATATACCATATCCGGAAATCGTCCAATATTTTTCGAATCGCGCGCCACGACGACACGTTTTCGTTTTCGCGGCATCTCTGAGTATTGACGAGTAGGTACGAAAATGCGATTTGGACACGAGCGTAAAATTTAACGAGCCTCTTAAATTTTTTCGTTTCTTTTTTAATTTAATTATTTATTCAAACTTTTGGACGCATTTCTCAAGCTTTATCGAACAGACTTTAAAAGAATCACGATCGAAGTTAAAAGTAAATATAACGAAGATTTTAAATACGATTGATTGATATAATCGATATAAATATCCTTTAAGAGGTTTAATTATAATAGGAGGTGTAATTTTGCACAATTTCGAAGGACTCGTGAAGCTTTACGTGCGAATCTCTGACGCATGGTAGTTAAATAGTTAAATATGCATATATGTATGTACATAATAGATAATAGGAATGTTAAGGTAATTACCTAAATATTGCACGATTCTCCATCAAGTCGAATCAAACGAACGAGATTCGAACAGAACCTACGTACAAAACTAAGTTCATAAAAATACACAGATATGTAGCATATTCTCGAGATACGAACGAATCGCTGATCATTTATGATCAATGATGACAAAGATTGGCGAAAAGAATTCTAAACCGAGCTAACTAACTAAGCATCCTAAATACGATATTAATTCGATATTAAAAATTATAAATATCAAACCTGTATAAAATTTCTGATTCTTTACAACGATTCAAATCAATGCAAAAAAATTCCTTGCCCCTAAGATCAACGTTATTAAAACTATCATCGACTCGAAGTGATAAACAATTCGTAATAAAGAATCAAAAATATCGACCATGATGACATGGAGATGTGATGATTATGGATATCAATTAATTCGCAACAGTATCAATATACATCACGCATTAAGGGGGGAGGCTGGCGTCTCCCCCTTATATACACGTCATCTATACAATTACCTACGTGAAAGCCTCCATAGCTGCTAATTTGTCGCCTTAATTAGTGATATGCTTGCTTCCGTTTTCAGCAATTGAAAACACGAACGAAAAAACGAATAAAAACTAAACGATTTTGCCGATCTTGGTGGCAAACACGCAAATACGAGGGCCCTTGCTGAGGAGAAGCCTCCCGTTGCGATTGTGTGTCCTTTTTCTTCTTATTATTCTTCTTATTCTTCTTAAACTCGATCCTTGACATTTATCGATGATATCCCATTATTTCTCTTTCGTTTCGTTTCGTTTCATCGAAATGTCACGCTTCTCTCCTATGTGTCGATACGTCACGTTTTCCAATCACAAATGACGATTTCGTATATCCTCGATATTTCTCCGACAGCTGTCCATTTGCTATGATCTGATTCTTTTCTGATACGTCGTCGAAAGAGTTTGCAAAGTTCTTATTGTGTTTCGTCGTCTATCGCATTCGTCTCTCTTCTTAAAAAATATAAAATAAAATTCGAGAGGAAAAGAAGAAGAGATATTAATCAACAATTTTCACACCGATGATTTATCGATCGTTGAATTGAAAAGAAACGTGGATAGATAATTTATTAAAAGGATTGAAAATAAACACTCGTCTCCCTTCGATCAATATTTTCAATCTTTAATTTCGAATCAACGTAACAAGACACTAATCAAGAACGGTCACTATCACTTCGTTGTTGAAGTAACCGTTCTGGAAATAGTCGTCTGTTTCGATAACGATCATACGAGGAGGACCGAGGCGAGTCGGTGCACTTGTTGATAAAAATCACAGAAAGAGAACAAGAGAACAACTCGTTGCTTTCGTAAGATTCTCGACATAGAAAGAGAGGGAGTGAGAGAGAGAGAGGATCGATACCTAATGCGAGGGATAATAATATTCTTGACAAGTGGAAGCCTATCTCGAAGACTATTTCGCGATGGCGCGCGAGCGGCGTGCATAATCCGATGACGAATCCAATCACGAGTCGCGTTAATACATCCCTTGCCTGAACGGATTGCTATCGCCAGAGGGCTTCTGATCGACATTTCCAGGCCTCCTGAACGGATTCACATCTACTTGACCTCCTGCCTGGGGCTCTTGCTGGGAGTACGGCCTCTGCTGGGAGTACGCCATAGGCTGTTGGCCCATGTAATTGGCCGGTTGTTGCTCGTACATAGGCGGTTGCTCGTAACCGGTGGAGGGCTGAGTATATCCAGCCGCGTTAATATTCTGCCCGTAACCGCTCTGATCGTAATTCTGGCCAGCTTGGTAATTCTGATCCACGTAGCCTTGATCCACGTTCGTCTCCATACGCGTCTGGTTCAAATGGTTGCCCACCTCGCCCGAGAGGGGCCTCTGCTCCTGCAACACGTACGTCTGGTACTCTTTGTCGGGCGGGTTTTGCATCAGGACGTCTGCCTCGTCCTGGAACGGCTTGAAGTCGTAGATGTGCCTCAAGTACATGAGCACGGGCGCGTAGAGGAGGTTGGAGAAGGCTATGCCGATGTTCAAAGCCGTGAAACCGATCGCCTCGACGACGCCACCAGCTATGATAGGCCCTACAGCGTACGCCACGCTGTACGAGATGTCGGCTATGGCGTATATGCTCCCGTAGACCGAGACGTATCTCACGTCGACCAGGTAGCCAAGAGTGGGGAGCAGAGCCGTGTCGATCAACGCTATCCCGAAACAGATGCCGCACAACGGGATCATGAGGGCGCCGTAGCTGCTGCAGAACGGTATGATGAAGCAGCACATGCCCTCCAAAGCTAGGCCCGATGCGGCCATCAGCCACTGTTGTTGGGGATACTGCTTGGCCATCTTCACGGTGATCATCACCCCGAACACGTGGGGGAAGAAGGCCGGTAACCAGATCATCCCCATTTTCCAATTGTCCCTGGTTATGTTGTCCTCCATCCAAAGGGAGATGGTAGGCTCGAGGAAGGCCAACGCGACGTTCGACATCATCAGTGCTCCCGCGCACACGGCTATGTACGGGTCCATGAGCAGCCGCCAAATCGGTATCGTTTGGCGCATCTCGCCTTGCCTCTGCTTCACTTGCTCCTTGATCGGCTTCATCACGAGGAGGAGCATCACGCCGTCCGCCAGGCTGATGAAAGCGAGGATCAGAAAGGGGACCTCTTTGCCCGCGAATTGGTAGAGGGCGCCGCCGAACGGTGGCGCCACCAGGCAGCCGAAACTGATGA